CACACACACACACACACACACACACACACACACACACACACACACACACACACACACTCATAGCAAAATTTATATTATACACATAATGAAAAGGTTTCCCTGTCCTGCCAATTGGCTAGATCTATGTGTATGTGTGACTGTGTCATCATCCAGTGCGGATCTGAAACAGACATGAGCGACCTTTGTTCTCCATTCATTCCTTTGCCCGCATTCTCGGGGGAAAAAAACCTACATTATCCTGATCTTTCCCCTTCACCCTGTTCAGGCTATAGTGCTGTCCAAAATTTGTGGTGCAACTTATGCTCAAATATCTCTTTAACGTGAGAATCAATGTCATCCATATTTTGCACAGCAGTTTGTATAAAATCAATTTGTCTTAACTAAATCATTTCCAGAACAATTGGGGCTAGATTTAAAAACTTTCCTCTTTAAACTTATATAAAATACTAGAAATCTCTGCCACACGTAAAATTGTATTGTTCTCAGCACTTCCCGCTTCTCACACACATTTTGCGTACGCATATGGCCTACGTCAGGGCTCATCACTAACAATTTTTACTTGCAAAACTTGTTACAAGAAATTATTGTAAAAGTGAACACTTTTTTGCACTAATGGTTCTCGAAACATGCTTTCATTAAGCATAATGTCCCGAATAGAAAAACCTGACGGACTTGCTATTAAAAGCAACATTGCCCCAACTGTAAACATTTAAAGATCTGTAGAAACCACGCACTTGGATTTTTTATTAGTATTTATTCAGGAATTTTCTGGAATACAGCTAGCTGGTGTATACAAAAATGTTGATCTGTTAAGACAAATTGATACAAACCACTGTGCAAAAGTTGGAGAACGTATGTTTGATAGTTGAGGAGATATTTGACAATAAGTCGCGCCACGAATGTTTGACCTCACTATAGACTGTATACATGTGTGAGGCAGTGTGGTGAAATCAAGCGCTCGCCAAAATAATCAAAGTGAAAAAACTGGCGTTTTTCCGCAGCTTTGTGAATTTTTATCGAATTTGGTTTTTAGGCTGAACACCTTTCATGCCCATTACAGAAAACAGTTTTCTGTGTGGATTTTTCTGAAAAATGATGATTAAAGGCACAGAAAAATGTAAATTTTCAGTTTCCTTGGACTTTCAAGCTAAGGAAATAACTTATCTTTGGCGACCATTTTCTCACTAATTTTACCTCTAAAACCTGGTGACCCCCACCTCCTTCATTCGCAAATATCTCGACTTCTATTCAAGATAAATGGGTATTTTTTTATCCAAAACAAGACTAATGAACAAGTTTTAAGATGATATAAATAACTCTACTCTCCCAAACATTGACGAACGCCTGATTCCACCACGTCATGACCCATTTCCATTGTTCCCCTCAGACGAGTACCCACTGGGTCCGAGTTCGGATGCCGTCCTTGCCCTCGCCAGTAACCCCGACGCCACCGAAGGGGAGCTCACCGCGGCCATCAACGCTCTCAAGGAGAAGCTGACGCAGATCAAGCGACGCAGGTCAGCATGTGTGATTTGTCACTAAGACTTTGTCACTGACTCACTAAGACTTTGTCACTGACTCACTAAGACTTTGTCACTGACTCACTAAGACTTTGTCACTGACTCACTAAGACTTTGTCACTGACTCACTAA